TGACCCCGGGGTGACCCCTGACCCCGCCCCTCCCCCAGGCGCTGCCCCCGGCCCTGCGGGAGCTGCTGGGACTGGGACAGACCAGGAGCCAAACTGGGACGGACTGGGAGGAACTGGGAGCAACTGGGGAGGCCCAACCCCCCTCGGAGCCACCCCCGGGCACCGCCTGAGCCAAACTGGGATGAACTGGGAACCAAACTGGGGCAACTGGGAGGGACTGGGACAAACTGGGATGAACTGGGAGCAATGGGAAGCCAAACTGGGATGAACTGGGATGAACTGGGATGAACTGGGAACCAAACTAGGGCAACTGGGAGGGACTGGGACGAACTGGGAGCAACTGGGAGCCAAACTGGGACAAACTGGGATGAACTGGGAACCCAAACTGGGAGGGACTGGGAGCCCAAACTGGGAGCACTGGGAGGTCAAACTGGGAGCACTGGGAGCCCAAACTGGGAGCACTGGGAGCCAAACTGGGATGAACTGGGAGCACTGGGAGCACTGGGAGCCCAAACTGGGACAAACTGGGAGGCAAACTGGGATAAGCTGGGACAAACTGGGATGAACTGGGAGCCCAAACTGGGACAAACTGGGAGGGACTGGGACAAACTGGGAGCACTGGGAGCCAAACTGGGACAAACTGGGATGAACTGGGATGAACTGGGAGCCCAAACTGGGATGAACTGGGAGCACTGGGAGCCCAAACTGGGACAAACTGGGAGGGACTGGGAACCCAAACTGGGACAAACTGGGAGGGACTGGGAACCCAAACTGGGAGCTCTGGGAGCCCAAACTGGGACAAACTGGGAGGGACTGGGAGCCCAAACTGGGATGAACTGGGATGAACTGGGAGCCCAAACTGGTTTTTGTCTCTCTGGTCATTAAAGCTTTGGAACCCCGGGTTTGGAATTTTGGAATTTTTTGGGGATTTTTGGGAAATTTTTGGGAAATTTTTTGGGTTTTTTGGGAATTTCTGGATTTTTTTGGGGGGTTTTTTGTGTGGAGTTTTTTTGGG